AAGACAAACCAAATATTGACATACAGTAAGTATCTACTAAGTGCAGTGATGACACCACCATTAACAATAGAAAAATGCAACAATATCGTGGAGTCAACTAAATATCTAAAGATTAATAAAGCTTTACAATAATGCTAGTAAAGGTGAAGGGAATGGGGAAGGGGAATTGAAGGAAGTAAAATTTGAAAAATAAAGAAAAGGAAGCTGAGAAGCAGGAGAGAAAGTGAGATAAGGATTTCTATTAAGGCATAAAAGAACATTAATAGAATTAGATAAAAGTAACTGAGAGGAACAAACCAAAAAAAAAAAAAAAAAGAAAAAGAAAAGGGAAACAGAGCAAAATAAAGAGAAAAAAAGAAGAAAAGCTCTAGCTCTCCAAAAATTCCTCCATGTTTTTAAACGAGTGGTTTCTTTCTAGGGCTTGCAGTTTTGTAATCTACCAGATATGGAGGAGGTATAATGAGTCACGACTCAGATGTATTTTGTTTACACACTCACATATTTGTGTGTGAATGCTGAATCCTGATCTGCCGGTCCTGCTGGGCGTGGCCAGTCCATGGTACCATCGACCCTAGGGCTGTGGTCACTCCAGCTGTTCCCAGTTCCCATGTCCTTCTCTGTACCCCAAGTCAGGGCTTTCTCCACCTAGCTTTTTGGCCGGTGGGTTTGTGATGTAGTACCCCTACTCCAAGGGCCTCTCTGTGCATACACCCCAAGCTATCGCAACCCATATGAGCCAAGGCATGTCCCCCATCTCATTGACAAATGAGAAAAGCAAAGAGACCACTGAGATCTGTAGTGGATACAGCCAGCGGTGGGGTTGTCAGCACTTTCAGACCCAGCCACTTCCAAATGCCACACACGACCGACCAGCCTGGCTTCTCTACTCAGAGAGTGATGACCCTTGTGACCTTCCTGGCCTGAGTTTAAACTTCTCAGGGATGTCTATCTGTAGTCCACATGCTCTTCGTGAGACTATCTCTTATAGCCGTATCCCACCCATTCAGTCACTGTGGTAAGGTGACACCAGAATTAATAGTTGTTCTGTAATTCAGTCCTAAACAAGCCTTTACCACTCAATTTGAAAAGTTCTTGTATTTGTTATTAGCTATAATATTAATGTCATTCATTTATAACTAAAACTGGAGTAATTTTTCTGGATATTTTCCTAAGTGTATGTTAGAAAGTATCAAAATGTTATATCTTCTTTTATCTGAGATTTTAAATCACTTGATCTATTGATGTTTTGTGGATTCTCAGTGTACATTTGATGTAGAACAACAAATTATTATTTTTCCAAGTGGAAACTGCTTAAACTACACTTTGTATTTCCATTAAAGTCATGAAATCATCTCTAGACCAGGAGCATCAGTACCACCTGAAACTTGTTGGAAATGCAAAGTTTTGGGCCTTACCTGACACCTATTAAATCTGAGGATAGAGCTCAGTAATTTGTGTTTCAGCAAGTCCTCTTGATTTGCACTAAAGTTTGATAACCATTGCTTTAGATAATAATTGAGGACCATATGTTGTGTTTCACACATACAAAGGACTACTAATTATACTGTCTGATATTGACATTACTCTATTGAAACAAATTTCTACATAGTCTTTGTTTTCTTTAGATAAACATTAATAGTAATAGATCTTTTAACTAATTTAATGGTTACATATATAGAGAATTTTCATCATATTTTAAAAAGTGGCTCCTGGGTTTAGAAGTACAGTTATCTGACCTTGTCCCCATAGTTGTAAAGAGACTTTTATGCCAAAATTTAAAATATTTTGTAGAGAATATATAATTGGTAAATTGGATGATGCCTAAAGCCTAAAGTCAGCTTAAAACATTAAATCTATATATAGTCATTTTAACATAGGAATTCAACAGTATTTGAAATACTTATTGCTTACTTATAATACTTATAATGGTATGTGAGAAGAATAGAAAAGATAGACTAAATATAAAAAGATGAATTTAATAGGATTCCCAAACTAATTAAAATTGAAATAGGAGCCAGGGAAGAGGAAGTGATCTAGCATACTAAAATATATGAAAATGTTAGAGGGGCTCAAGACAATAGCTCAGTACGCATGAATGTGATATAATCCTGAAAACAGCTGAAATCCTGGGTTGCATTAACAAAAATGTTTATAGAGACTATGGTAAGTGATAGTATTCTTGGAATCCTAAGTTTCTTGGCACAATACTTTAGAAAGGACAAAGAAGAATGGGAACTCAGTCAGAATAGGATGATAAGAATGGTAATAGTAAATGAAACCTTGACATAAGGAACAGTAGAGTGGGAGATTTAGCCTGCTTCAGAAGGATCCCAGGTGCTGGAAAGGAACTGATCTGGATATGTAAAAGTCTTATAGGTTTTTGTTCTGTCTTCATCTTTCTAGTTTTGTTTTCTGTTGCCCTTTCAACTCCAAAATCAGTAGTCTTGCTGCATTGGGGGCCTCTAGGTCAAGGAGTTACTAGGACACGCCTTTTTGTATACTGATCAAGAGAGAAGGAAAATAATAGACCTTTCTTGGAATCAGAACTGCATCTCAGAGTTTGAATGCCAAGACAATTCTCACCTGTAAACGCTGAGTCAAGAGTACATCATTTGATATTAGAGAATTTAAAATGTCGTATAAACTTCCTTATATTGAGGACAGTTTTCTTTCCTACATGAGATGGAGGAAAGGCCCAGGTTTTAGGGTACAATTTTGTGTACTTGTCGTATTACATTATACATTTTAAAATAATTTTTTATATTTTTATCAATACGTTTGCAGTACATAATGATTGTGTAAATTCATCATGGGATATTGGTACATGTACATATCACATCTTAAATTTTTTGAAGGAAAATATGTCATTCCTATAATTCCCACCTTGTCTGGTAAAGTATCCTACTACTGATACTTCCTATATGAAAGCTTCCTGATCTCTGGTTACCAATCTGGTTACCATAGCACTTCGCATATGACGTAGTTAAAACACATGTTGCATTATACCTTTTAGTATTTGTAAACCTAATAAGATTTTAAGCCCTTTGAGGATGTGGTGGGAATTAATCTTGTTCATTTTTTTTTATCCCCAACACCTATAACAGTCTGGTACATAGTGAATACTCAGTTAATAGTATGGAATAAATAAATGAATGTAGATCTATTATCACAACAGATGCTCATAATTAGAGGACATCTCCAAAATCACCCCCATTTTATCATCGTGTTCCTTCTGTCTTCTTTGATTTCCTTAATTGGTGATCCTACTTCTATTCTGCTTGCACCTCCAGTGTGACATTCTGGTTTTCTTCCTTCTTTCTATGATCTTGTCCTCTCCTGAGATATTGAATGTAAGAATGGATTTGGTAACATCTTACATTTGTACTTTACCCTACCTTAAGACCGCTGATCTCTGAGCAGCTAAAACATTAATCATCTACTAAGAAATCATAAAACAGACCAGTTCACTAATGCTCTGACCATTCCTTTCTTTTTTTTTTTTTGGTACTGGGGATCGAACTTGGGACCTTGTGGTTGTGAGGCAGGTGGCGGAACCACTGAGCTAAATCCTTGGCCCACCATTCTCTTTCTTAACAGTGATATAGGAGGAAGTGTTTTAGAAGTTTGCTGAGCTGTGTAGGAGATCTGTCCCATCTAATCCAGCTGGCCAGCTGCAGCTGGAGACAAACAACACTTAACACATATCCCTTACAGCTCAATATGTGGGCAACTGGGAGGCTGGGCTTGAGGGAGCAGGAGGGAGGAGTCGCCCAGGTTTCTGACTCGAATGATAAGTAGGTGGTGAGGCCATACAAATTAATAGGGAATAAGGAGGGCTGTAGACTTTGAGGGAGTAAAGACTGATGAGTTTAATTATGGATATACTGAGTTTCAATATCCTTAAGAACATCCACATGAATGTATATAGTAAGCAATTGTAAGAAAGAACTTGAACATCAGAGAAAAGATCAAATTTGAAGAGTTTTTAAATCACAAGGATGAGTGATAGTTCTATGGATAGAATGTAGCATTAGAAATCAATTAAGAAAAGAACTCAAATTTAAATGAAGAGGAAACCCATGAAGAGAATGCAGAGAATGATCTTAGAGTGTGAAAAGCCAAAGAATTTCCCCACTTATACCAAAAGCAAATACAAACATAAAGAAAAAATTAAATGATGTGTCTCTCAATTGTGATAAATCTTTCAGAGTAAAAGCTGAAAATTACCCTTTGGATTTAGTAATGAAGCAGCCAGAATCTTACTAAGAACAATTTCATTGAAAGGTAACTCCTTCATTCATTAAAATATAGCACAAATTTTAACTTTCTTTAGGGAAAATTTCCCAAAGTTTCCAGACTAGATTAGTTGTCTGTGCTGGTACACTGATAACATTCTGTGCTTTTTGGTATGTTTTAATTATTCATTGGTACATTTAAATTTAAATTTAAATGATTTATTAATTTCTAGACTATAAGCTCTATGAAGCAAGTAACCTTGCTACCTCGCTTTTTCTTGTGAATCTTTGTAAATAGAATGAACTTTCTTGGAACTTAGGCATCTTGTTCCTGGTTCTGTTTGTGTAGGTCAAATAGCTTTGTCCATTTTTTCCAGTCATGAGATTATTTTTTCAAGTAATCAATACACATATATATAGCTGCTTTTAATGGCATACAGCTGCAGTCCCAGCACTCTTGGAACCTGAGGCAGAAGGATTGCAGGTTGGAGCCTTGCCTGGACAATTTATTGAGACCCTTTCTCAAAAGAAAAAATGAAGAGCTGGGGATACAGCTTAGTGAAAAGGCCCTTGGTTCAATACGCAGTTCCACCCAAAAAAAGAAAATAAAAAAGCTCTGTAAATCAATGTAAAAGAATTTTACCTAATTGAGGATATCAAATATTTAGTCACTAATGGCATGAAGACAACCTAAGAGATACTTCTAATTTAGAATATTATAACTAGAATTTTTGAAATTAATGTTATGTTTTGTATTTCTTACAGGTGAAATGAATCAGAAATACAGAGAACTAAAAAAAAGGGAAGAAAATATGGACAGTAAGTGATAATTTACAAATGTAAAAATATATTCCCACATTGCTGTTCATTTATAAAAAGTCACAGAGGTCTCATTTTACAGAGATACATTGGCTAATAGATACAAAACTGTGGACATTCAAGGTATTTTGTCCTGAAGAATATCTACATTTCTAGCAAAATTTAGGGTTGGGTAGAGAATTCCAAAAAAGTGTATATATGTATGAATGGGTATTTGTATATTAGGGATAGATTCTAAAGCTAGTACTTATATTCATAGTCTGTGCAAAGGGAGCCTGCAGACCACTTACTGATTGAATGCTGAACGTTCTTTTCTCTATGCTTCATTATATTTACCTTTAATATCATTCAGCTTTTAGCTTTTCATAATATCTCATTATTTAAGCCCTCACCTCTACTCTTGTTACTTCACTCTTTCATCAACTGTAGCTTTTTTGGCCTTCTGTTAGTTTTTCATTCTTTTAAAAAAAAATCTCAACTTTATAAATAAATATTAAACTTATATTGTACATATATAATTTTTAAAAAATTGTATTATTACTGGCTTCTTTTTGAACTATCATTTTGCTAAAATCTGAAGTTTTATAGGTCTAATGTTAATTATTACCTTCAAGGAGTGTGATAAAATTGTAATTGTCAGCTTTAATTTTGCAATAAACTGAAGCCTTCTTTACAGTCTCAGCAAGTATCAAAGATTATCTCAAAATCAATTCATTGTTCTATTTTTTTTCATTGTTTTTTTTTTTTAAAGTATTTTTAAAGAAGTAAGATCAACGAATGATATGTGACACCTTCACAGTATTTGATATCCCTAGATGCTACCTATAAAACAGCATATTCATATCTAAGACCTGTAGTTAAGTGTTGAAGCAGGACATTAAAGAATAGTTTAAAAATTTTTGATTATAGTCCACTACCACCATATTCAATAAAAAATGAATTCCTGAAGGCTGTTTCAATTAAAAATAAAATAAATGTAGAGAAAAGTGTAAGGGAAATCCATTACAGAAGGCAATGAATTGATGTTGATCTCATGTTAACACTAAAATTTTTAGCTAAAAATATGCAATCTTTGGAAGTTTCATAGTAGTACTTGAACAATATAAATAACCAGTATTATGTGCCTGTTTTATGTTAGACAAAAACAAGAATAATTTCTTAGAATATTTATTTATAACCTGAATAAATTATTAAATTTACTTTGAGATTAACCCAGCATTAAAAGTAAAATATGCATTTTTTTTTTTTTTTTTTTTGGTACTGGGGATCGAACTCAGGTCCTTGTGCTTGCACAGCAGGCGGCAAAACCACTGAGCTAAATCCCCAGCCCAATATGCATTTTTTGATCTCCATTTTTATCAGCTATTTCTTAAGCCTATATTTTTAACTTTTAGTTTACCCATATAGCAGCTGTAATTTAAGAGTTTGAAAAGTTTGAATATTTAAGAGTTTGAAAATATGTAAAAATATCATTATTCAGTAATCACTTTTGGGTTAATAAAAAATTAAACAGTGGTAGTTTAAAATTTACATTTGTTTTGAATTTCTAAAAAGTATTCTGAAGACCTAAAAAACAGAGTTTACACAGCACAATGTCAGCTACATCAAGAGTAGCCTCTTTTATCATGTTTTTCAATTGGCAGCTTTCATAGACACTTTTGAGGAAACTAAGAATCAGGAACTGGAACGGAAGGCACAGTTAGAAGCCAGCATTGTTGCACTTTTGGAGCATTGTAGTAGGGTAAGTACCATGTGCCTGTCTGGATGTCCTCATTATTTTTACTGTGATTAACTTTCCAAATACAAATACTCAAAAGGTAGAAGGCTCATTATTATGTCTGCTTGCTTAAACTGTTTTCTTCACATTCCCATTTTTGCCATTTTATTCCTTTGCACTACTAATTTTTATCTCTCAAGGAAAATCTTAGCTAATTAGGGCAGCGGGGAAAAGGATGACATGTATAATATCAATATTTAGCACTGAGGCACTTATTGTAGTAATTACATTTTTTCCATTGTTACTTTATCTGAACTTATAGAACATTCACTTAGAAAATTTCAAAATCTAGACATGTTGGAAAATGTTTAATATATTTTTACATTGTAATTTTTCTTCTACATGAACCTAATGAGTATCTTGACATCAAAAATGTTTATTGAGGGGATTTAGCTCAGTGGCACTGCACCTGCCTCGATCCCCAGTACCAAAAAAAAAAAAAAAAGATTATTGAGCATCTATTGTGTGTGTGGTACATAGGAGTAAAAATACATGATGCTCTTTGAATATTTTTACTGTTTTAAGACTACAAGGGGACCAAGAGATGGAGGATGGAGAGAAGAGGGAGAAGTAAAAAGAATTAACAAGTGTTATGTATATATATGTGAATTTAGTAATTATTATGTACTGCAGACAGTACATAATCAATTATAAAGTAACAATAAATATTTTAAAAGTTAAAAAGCAAGGATAGTCATGTTAATGCCTACATCCTGCGTTGTCACAGTGGTGGAGACAATGCACATAAGTTGTTGGGCATAGGAGAGGTTCAGTTTGTTTTGAATTGGATAACAGTTGGGATAAAGATAGAGAGAGAAAGGAAAAGATCTCACCAGACACTCTTTAACTTGAGATGCTGTCAGACCACTAGATATTTTGGTCTCCTTTGTGTATTGATGGCATTTCAGCACTTTTAGGGTGGGGTAGTGGGAATTGAATACAGGGTCTACGCATTACGCTACATCCCCCAGCCCCTGTTTAGTTTTTACTTTGAGACAGGGTCTTACTAAGTCACTACATTGATAAATTTCCCAGATGGGGCTTGAACTTGGGATCTTCCTGCTTCAGCCTCCCAGAATGCTGGGATTATAGGCATGTGCCACCATGCCCCAGTGTCAGTACTATTATATACTGGTTTATGGGGGTGAGGGTGTCGTTGTTGTTGTGTTTCTCTTCCTCTCCTTCTTCCTTTTCCTCCTCTTCCTTTTCTTCTCCTTTATGTGTGTGTGTGTGTGTGTGTGTGTGTGTGTGTGTGTGTGTTGAGGACTGAACCCAGGGCCAATGCTCTCCTGTTGAGCCACACCCCCAGGTACCCTATATACATTTATTTAGCCTTCGTAACAACCTCAAAAGATAAAGGTTAGTTCATTTTACTGATGGATAAATGGAAGGCTTGAACACTGATCTGCATGGCTCCAAGTGTATTGCCCCTTCCTAGAGGAGAGCTTGGGATCAGGTTGACATCAGAGTGGGGGTCGTCTTCATAGAAAACCTGTCCCATCTCTTCTGGAGCCCACTTCTACCCAATCCATAATCTAAAAGCCACTAAGATCTCTTCTTCTGAGGTGACTATGTGCCTCACCCTGTTCTCTCCCCTCATCCATCCCCTTCTCAGCCATAGAAACAAGCACTATCCACCGAAAGGGCTGGTTTAACCCTAAACCTAACTCTGGAGCCCAAATCCTCAAAGGTTATAGCTCAGGGACAAGTGGCTTAACTTTCTCCCCCAAACACAATGATTCTTATCAGAGAGGTTTTGCCTTTAATCTACCACCCCAAAGCAGTAAATGTCTTTTACCATTTCTTTCCTATTAGCCTGTTTTACCCAGAACCCATTCAGTTTCTTTTTAAAAGTTAATGCAAATGATGCTATTGAAATACATAAAACACTTAAGAATAGCTCTTTTAAAATTTTCATTTTTTATTAGTACTGTGTGTAGTACACAATGATCGCATTCCCTATAGGAGTAGGTACATGGACATGACACATCTCAGTGTTTTTCCATCCCCTCTTCCTCCTCTCCCTACCCTCTTCTTCTACCACTTGGTTCCATTGCTGTTTGCAAAACGTCTGTCTCCTTACTTCTATTATCTATCTTTTATCCTTCTCTTTATATTTTGCATTTCTTGTGTAAGGGAAACTGTGAGATATTCAAACTTCTGTGTCTCTCAGAAAACAATAGCCTTCTTATACGCCAGTAGCAGACTCATTGAGAGAGAAATTCAGGAAATAATTCCTTTTACAATAGCATCTAAAAAAATGAACTATCTAGGAATCAACCTAACAAAGGAAGCAAAAG